AGCTGTAAGGGAGTCTGGGAAAGCCACATCTGACCTTGGGGGGCTGTTTATTTAAGGATGTTCTAGGGGGGTCAGACCAATCAATCCTGCATGGAAGACCATTCTCCTGTTTTCAGACTGGCAGGGCACTTCCATAGACAAGAACATTCTGGATACTTTGATGCTAAACACTACCAAAATCGGACATGGATTTGCTTTGAGCAAACACCCCGCCCCCAGGCCTTACACGTGGAAAAAGGACATCCCCATAGAAGTCTGTCCCATCTCTAACCAGGTATGTGTGACTCATGTGGCTGATCCCATGTGATCTCCCCTAACCACAACCTCTGCCCTCTTAAACTTTTTCCTCTTAAACTTCTCTCTCCTTAACTCTCTTGTTACCAAAATCCCTCCACTCTCCCACCTGTTAGTAAAGTTATTCAGGAGGTGCCTTTTGCTTAAGCCACCAGTAAGAATGCGGCAGCTCTGAGAGTCCCCAGTGGGGTGGAATTTTGGGCAAAACTGTGGACAAAGCAAAAAGGACACAGGGGGCGGCCAGTACTTCCTGGGGTCCTTTGTGTCTGTGTTCAGTTAGTGCTTCTCTGAGCAGGACCAGAAGTGACCGAGTATTTGTGGTGCTGATGAAACAGGAGGAGACGCATGGGTGCTGGTCCTGTTCTCCTTGTGACTGCCCAGAAGTCATGCCCACATTGGGGAGATAGCAATGGGGAGATGAAGGGAGCTGATGGGGGCTCCACGTCTCATTTCACTTGCGACTACTCTTTTTAGGGATCAGAGTTCATCTTTCTCCCTTGCCTCCTACCGGGCAGGTTCTGAAACTGGTGCCTGATTTGAGAAACCACCCTGCAGCTACTCTGATGGCCATCGGGCACCCCATGGTGATCAGCTCTGATGACCCAGCGATCTTTGGTGCCAAAGGCTTGTCCTACAATTTCTATGAGGTCTTCATGGGCACTGGGGGGATGAAGGCTGACCTGAGGACCCTCAAACAGCTGGCCATCAACTCTATCAAGTGAGTGTCTCATGTCCTCCCAGGACCTCTGCCCGCCTTCCAGCTTGTGTTTGCATCTGAGGAGGCTTGAGGCTGATGCCTCGATGGTTTCTGTGGGTTCCTTCTTATCATGGCTGGTTAGTCCTTGCTGCTGGACTGGAGACACTGCTCTGCCAGCCTTCGATGTCCCTTCAGGCTCCCTGCCCCATTCCCAGCCCCTGCCCCGAGGCTCACCTGGGCTCCTCCTTTTCCTGCAGGTACAGTAGCCTGTTGGAGATTGAGAAAAATACTTTCATGGCAATCTGGAAGAAGAGATGTGATAAGTTCATAGTGGATGTGGCACGGAGTGAGGAGAAACTAGCCATCCTCCATGAGCTGCCTTCCCGCACATGCTGCCACCGCCACTCACCCGTTCTTGAATCAGCTCCATGTCCCCATCAAATCAATGGCCTGGGTACAGAGCGACCCTGTGAGAAGCACTTGGCTGGCTGACCAGCTTCATCCTCTGGAACATTCTCCCTCAGCTGCAGCAGCATTGACCCTCACGATTTTCTCCACTCTGTGTCCATTGCTTCCAGTTTCCCTACTTCAGAATCTCCTCCTCTCTGACCTCTGTGCTGTGTCCTCAGGGCTCAGTCCTGGGCTCTCTTCTATTCTGATCTCTCTATTTAAAAAAAATTTTTTTTGGCTGGACGTGGTGGCTCATGCCTGTAATCCAAGCATTTTGGAGGCCAAGGGGGGGGGGGCGGATCACCTGAAGTTGGGAGTTCAAGACCAGCCTGACCACCATGGTGAAACCCCGTCTTTTAAAATTAATTAATTAATAAGAAATTTTTTTTCAAGATGGAGTTTTGCTCTTGACACCCAGGCTGGAGTGCAATGGCACTATCTTGGCTCACTTCAACCTCCACCTCCCAGGTTCAGGCGATTCTCCTGCCTCAGCTTCCCGAGTAGCTGGGATTACAGGTGTGTGCCACCATCCCCAGCTGATTTTTGTATTTTTAGTAGAGAAAGGGTTTCATCTTGTTGGTCAGGCTGGTCTCAAACTCCTGACCTCAGGTGATCCACCCACCCCGGCTTCCCAAAGTGCTGGGATTACAAGGGTGAGCCACCATGCCTGGCCTGTTCTGATCTCTTTAACTCCTTCCCCTTTATTTCTCATCTCTCTGTGTGGTGATTATTACTCTTCCTGGGTGGTCTCATCCATTCCCTTGCCTTTTCATACCATTTATTTGTTAATGATTCCTACATTTATTTATGTACTTGAAGAGCTCAAAGGAATCCCTGAAACTGAGGTGGTACAATTCTGAACCCTCAATCTCTTCCCTTTAAACCTTTCTTTTTCTCTACTTTAATTTTTCTAAAGAGTGTCTTGCTAAGTTGCCCAGGCTGGTCTCCAACTCCTGGTCTCAAGTGATCCTCCTGCCTCAGTCTCCCAAAGTTCTGGGGAGCCACCACACTGACATGAGCCACCACACTCAGCCNCTCCTGCCTCAGCTTCCCGAGTAGCTGGGATTACAGGTGTGTGCCACCATCCCCAGCTGATTTTTGTATTTTTAGTAGAGAAAGGGTTTCATCTTGTTGGTCAGGCTGGTCTCAAACTCCTGACCTCAGGTGATCCACCCACCCCGGCTTCCCAAAGTGCTGGGATTACAAGGGTGAGCCACCATGCCTGGCCTGTTCTGATCTCTTTAACTCCTTCCCCTTTATTTCTCATCTCTCTGTGTGGTGATTATTACTCTTCCTGGGTGGTCTCATCCATTCCCTTGCCTTTTCATACCATTTATTTGTTAATGATTCCTACATTTATTTATGTACTTGAAGAGCTCAAAGGAATCCCTGAAACTGAGGTGGTACAATTCTGAACCCTCAATCTCTTCCCTTTAAACCTTTCTTTTTCTCTACTTTAATTTTTCTAAAGAGTGTCTTGCTAAGTTGCCCAGGCTGGTCTCCAACTCCTGGTCTCAAGTGATCCTCCTGCCTCAGTCTCCCAAAGTTCTGGGGAGCCACCACACTGACATGAGCCACCACACTCAGCCCTTTAAACCATTCCCTGGCCTTTCCCATATCTGGTGAAATACACATCTGTCCATTCCACCCAGTTGTTCAAAGCAGAAATTTTCAGTGAAATCTCGATGCTGCACTGTCCCCCACTCCCTACATCACAATGCACCCTGCATCTGGACCCGGACAGTGGCACTCTGCCTGCACACTGCTACCAAGTCCAAGCCACCATGCCCCCACCTGAGTTATGACAACAGCCTCCTTGCTGATCTCCCCTTTCTTCCCTTTGCCTCTTCCAGTTCATTCTCCACAGAGTATAATGACTTTTTTTGTATTGAGATGGAGTCTCACCCTGTCACCCAGACTGGAGTGCAGTGGCATGATCTTGGCTCACTGCAACCTCTGCCTGCTAGGTTTAAGTGATTCTCCTGCCTCAGTCTCCCAAGTAGCTGGGATTACAGGTGTACCACCATGCTCAGCTAATTTTTTGTATTTTTAGTAGAGACGGGGTTTCACCATGTTGGCCAGGCTGGTCTCAAACTGCTGACCTCGTGATCCATCGGCCTGGGCCTCCCAAAGTTCTGGGATTACAGGTGTGAGCCACCGTGCCCCACCTGACTTTTTAAATATCAAATTAAATCAGGTGACTCCTTTGCTTACAACCCAGTGCAATTAGAGGAACACCAGTGTCTCCACAGAGTACACAGCATCTGATTTAATCTGGGTCCCTTCCAGTGCCTTCCTCTCCCAGTCACCCCAAGGGCCCCCCACCTCAGAGGCCCTTTCTTCCTCAGATGTCCCCAGCTCACTGCAACCTCCACCTCTGGGGTTCAAGTGATTCTCCTGCCTCAGCCTCCCGAGTAGCTGGTGTTACAGGCGTGTGCCACTGCACCCTGCTAATTTTTGTATTTTTAGTAGAGACAGGGTTTCACCATGTTGGCCAGGATGGTCTCAATCTCTTGACTTATGATCTGCCCCCTTCGGCCTCCTAGAGTGCTGGTGAGCCCAGCAAGCATGTTCCTTTTTTCCCTTTTGTCTCATCCATTCCTGTTTACCCTTCAAGTTTCAGGTTCCTGTCACTGTCTCAGAGGTTGTCCTATGCCTGCCCTGTTTCTCTCAGGAAGCATTGCCCTTTTCAATCGTGCCTCTAATCACGATTTGTAATTAGACATTTACTTCTGTGTCTTCAGTCTCGCCCCACCAGACCGCAAGCCCCCTGTGGGCAGGCACTCATGATTGTTTCTGATTGTTTCATGCA